TGGGTCCCACGATACTCTCGGACACACACTCACTGCGTTTCTATTTTTCACGTTTCTTCAAGCCGAACAATATCCTGAAAATCAGAAGAAGGAGGAACACTTGTGCAGCTTACTCGTAGTCTTTTCATCGCACTGTCCGGAAGCCGTAGCAGTGCAAGCTCTTCTACCCAGAACTGAGTTCTGAGTGTTGTGGTCATCAGTTTGCTTCTTGTTCCACTGTCTCCTGGGAACGTGTTGCTGGACCGACTCTCAACTTGCATGCTTGTGCAGACAAATGTAGGAACCTGGCCAAGAAACCCTGGAAAAATGTTAGGGTTCCGTTTATATTTGGGGGTTATAGGGCCAGGGTTCCTTAATCGAGTTCCTGCACTAGCAGATGGGGCTACCAGGGGCTGCCGCCATCACGACGTGCTGCGAAGTAGGTAACTTTTCCTCTGTTGACTTGGGGTGTTTGTCTGTTTAGCGTGGCTTTTCAACACACTCATTGGCGGCGCAGGAGCCGGCGATGGCCAACGAGGTGGTACCCGCTTCGAAGGCTGAAGGCAGGAAGTCTTTTTCACAGACCCAATATAGTACCCCACATAAATAGTAGGATCCTCACTATAAGGACCCCAAAATAAAGTACCCCCAATGTTCATGACCCGTTATCCAAAGCCTGCGACCCCAAGTGTTGAACCCTGAACCTCATACCTCGCGGTCCCTGGACATAACCACAAACCTGGCAATATGCTTAGGCAGGGCCGTATTATGGATCAGGACTTCATTTGCATCCGGACTGATGCCCGGAAATGTGTAGTTGAGCATCAAACTTTTTCGAGCCACGGCTAGCCTAGGACTCCGGGGTGGGTTTGGTGAAGTCTAGGATCTCAGTTGTGTTTGATGTGTCTAGCATAAACGCTTACCGCCCCAAGCCAACAACCTGACCTCCAGACTTCGAACCGGGGTTGCAGGGGGTCTGTGGCTGCAGCTGACCTGCCCCTAAACCCTAAGCCCTAGCAAGGGTTTCGGGGGTTCTGGGGCAGATCACCTGCCAGATTCATCATCGGATCGTAGTCCTCTTGGACTCGATTGCTTTGGCCCCTGCGCCCTGTGGCCCTCAATCCTAAGCTCCGGCACATCTGCCAGGGCTTTCGAATGAGAAACGAAACCACAGCTCTGGTATGCAGCTTGTCCCCTCGAAGGTGATGGAGCGGGTGACAGCAACATCTCTTCGAAGGACGGAACCCTGTCCTTCCTCCAGGTTCTGGAGTTGCAGGTGTTAGACATGGGAATTTCCGAAAATTAGCGGTACTGTATTTGGGGTTCTTATAATAAGGATCCTACCATTTAGGGTACTATATTTGGGTCCCCTAATTTTCGGAAACTCCCACATTGGGCTGTGAAGGAGGCATTCTGGACTCCAGGGTTTACATCTGGCGATGACGGGAATGTAATTGACTCCGCAGAAATCAAACCAGGCAAGAATGGCCCTTTTGTCTTCCTCCACGCCCTTAGCTGAAACCCCGAGCATGTTGTACCAACAAGTTCCTGTGCAGCACGAAGAATTCATCCGACATCCAACCCTACACGCTTGTCGAATCTCCGAAGCTGCGTTTTCCAGGATGAGTGCATGATTTTGTGTTCGTGCTGTTCTAAGCTAGACTACATATAGGCGCGCCAGACACCGCAGATTAAAGTTATCGCTGGGCTGCAAGTGCGAAACCCCCTTACTCGAGTGCTTTTCCCAAATCTAGGCCCTCAGTGATAAATGCCCGGCCGCAAATGCTGTTGATTTGACTGGAAGTTTGGTCGCAGTGACAGCTTCACCTGTAGCCTGAGTCGTTATCGCGGAGAAGTAGCAGAGCTGCAACCTCCGCCAATTGAATTCTGCATACTAGCTCTACTTGCTGCGAAGCACCAAGCTCCCACTCAGCAATCAAGAGAACTTAGTTTCTGAAGCTACGGGATTAAAAGGTCGTTGCTTTGTGAGTTTCTGCCGGAGAAGCAGTTCAAGCAATTGCAGTCTTTGTGCGTCCGATGCCGGATGTGTAGTTCTGAAGCTAGTTAAGGAAGATAGGAGTTTCCGAAAATGAGGGGTACCGTATTTTGGGGTCCCTATAATAAGGATCCTACTACTTAGGGTACTATATTAGGGTCCACTATTTTCGGAAACTCCCAGATAGTTCTGGAGATCGTCGATGCTTGTTTCGTTCTTGTGCTTCTCTCACTCCCACATTTGCATCCCTCGTCAAGCGAGAAGGCCCGGCTGTTGAGGAGTCTTCGCTGGCGTACAATCCAAGAACATGCTGAAAAGGGATTTACGGGTTGCAGTTTCCGGTTACCCAGGGACTCCAATATCCCGTAGTTAAGGAATATCCCTTAAAATATAGTAGGATCCCTGTTATGAATCAAGGTATATTCCTTACTTAAGACTTAAGGGATATTGGAGTCTCTGGGTAAGCCCTTTCATCCACAACCCCCAGGCCCTAACCGAATTGAAAGCCTCCAAGCTTGGACACGTGACGCAAGGTTTGGCGCACACCGCATCTCGGGATGCTGATTCAACTTCAGCCGTTAGGGTTCGGTGCAGTGGTTTCGGGTCTTAAGGGGTAATTAGGTTTTAGGCTTAGGGTCTGCTTAGGGTCCGGGGTCCCGCTACACCTACGGCTTTCACTGTTTGGGTCGCTTTGTTTGCGCAGCTTGGGGTTTAAGACGCGCACCAGGAGCTCATGGATCTTTTCTCCAACCCTGATTTGATCAAGCTCCTGTCCGACAAAGACACAGAGGAAAAGGGGAAGTGAGGTAGAGAATGTCTACTGGATAGACATTCAGCACGAGCAAGGGCTTTCCAGACTTCTCTGGTGTTGTGGTGGTGATGATAATCTCGTGTTAGTTTCAGGAAGCCAGCTTTAGATGCGTCATAGGCTTCAAACTCGCTGCACGAGACTCGATCTGAAAGACGGCTGCGCGCGTCTGTGCATGCTTTACCTGCCTCTGCCACTCGTTGCGGTGGCGATAGATGAGTGTCAGTCGAAGTAGCATGCGCATGAGTAGTGATTGGTAGTGGTAACACTCGTCGTCCTGCTCTCCTCCTCGTACGTAGTCATGGTTGTCGCGGTGGTGGTGCTGATGCTGGTGCTGGTGCTGGTGCTGGTGCTGGTGCTGGTGCTGCTGCTGCTGCTGCTGCTGCTGCTGCTGCTGCTGCTGCTGCTGGTGCTGGTGCTGGTGCTGCTGCTGCTGCTGCTGCTGCTGGTGCTGGTGCTGGTGCTGGTGCTGCTGCTGGTGCTGCTGCTGCTGCTGCTGCTGCTGCTGCTGCTGCTGCTGCTGCTGCTGCTGCTGCTGCTGCTGCTGGTGCTGCTGGTGCTGCTGCTGCTGCTGGTGCTGCTGCTGCTGCTGCTGCTGCTGCTGGCGCTGCTGGTGCTGCTGGTGCTGCTGGTGCTGCTGGTGCTGCTGGTGCTGCTGGTGCTGCTGGTGCTGCTGGTGCTGCTGGTGCTGCTGGTGCTGGTGGTGGTGGTCGTCGTCGCAGTCGTCGTAGCAGCCGTAGTCGTAGCAGCAGAAGCAGTAGCAGCGGCAGCAGGAGTAGTCGTAGTAGTAGCAGTGGTAGTGGTAGTAGTCGTAGTAGTCGTAGTAGTCGTAGTAGTAGTACTAGGAGCAAGTAGTAGTAGTAGTAGTAGTTGTTGTTGTAGTAGTAGTAGTAGCAGGAGTAGTCGTAGGAGGAGGAGGAGGAGGAGTTGCTGCTACGACCTGAGTCTGTACTATTGAAATTGCTATTATGACGACGACGACTACTACTACTACCACCACTACTACTGCTACTACGACTACGACTACGATTACTGCTACTTAGAACTACGAGTAGCACTCGTAGCAGTATTGCTTCCAGTGACATTTCAAAGCCTCGCTTCGTTCATGCCTGTATGGCGACCGCTGGCTGCGTGAATTCGACATTCACGAAGGCTGTCATGAAGCGGGCATTAAGGCATTAATCTCGGGTTGCAGCTTCCAGAGCTGTTGGGTTGGGGCAACTGTTTCTCGAGTTTGAGGCCTTCTGGGTGTTTGTATCGCAGCCGACGATCGTCCACGTGGGGTGATCTATGACTCATGTCCGTCACACACCAAGAGAACACGCCGCGAGCTTCAAATCACTGTATACGACTACTGTTGACACTCGTACAAGCCGCAAGCCAAGACCATGCATGGCTTTCGTTGTTTACCAGACACAACCAGTCTTCAGCCTTCAATATACCAACATGAGAAGACACGGTACATCTACATAGGCACACGGCGCAACTCGTCTGCGTTCTAAAGCCGCCATGTCTATCATCCCAAATCTCGGCCAGTGAACCGCTCTGCTGCAAGCGAAATAACGGCCGTGCAAGGCCCGTTGGCACGTAGTGTGTTGTCCTGGTGTGTCGTGCTGTGCGTACGTATAGTTGCACAAACAACTTGTGGCTAGTTGTCCTCTGATTAAGTTTGTCGCTTCGGAGTTTCGAAATCGTTCCAGTAGAGCAGGTCTCATACAGCCGACGGAGTTGTCCTGCTAGAGATGTAGAAGTGCCGGAACAAGTGAGGTAGGGTAGTCGAATGACGAGCATCCATGCTGCAAGTTGCTCTCAGTGGTCTCGAAAAGATATGTTTGTGCAACTCGACACTAGAGATTGTCAATGGTGCTATGGCGACCAGCCGAACTCAGCCCACGGAGGAGAAAACTGCGATACCCGTGCTTTGATGTGCTGCGGAAGGGACCTAACCTCGAGACACCCCTTGCTTCGCGCTTAGAGCTTGGAGAATAACAGGCACTTGTGGCAAAGACGGTACAGGAAAGAAGCCCGTGCAGATGTAGCTTGAATTACGCATAACATCCCAGAACCCAAGCATCCAAGCCAGCGAGCAGCCTTTCCCAGCACCTACTAGTCCGGCCCTTCCAGCAACGGCCTTTAGACATGCATGCCCGGCCAGCCCGAACATGAGGTCAGGTGTTCTGTTGAAGGAATCCCCTAAAACTCACTTGGTGCGCCAAGGCTTTTCCGCGGTAACCCGTCGAAGCCCGACGGGATCTACGATGGATTAGAGGCACTTTGAGGAAAGCTTTGGGCTTGTAGGGTCCCAGGTTGCCAGTGCACTGAATCTGTTGCCTCGCAGGGAAGATCGATGTTGCACCACTACTTGGAGGTTCATGGGACTTAAGAAGTACAGTTATACGCACCTTAATTGGGATTATAAGTAGTATAAGTGTAGTTGTCTTAATTTCAACCCTAGTTACTAAGTCCCATGAACCTCTAATTACTGGAGCGGATTTTGGCTTCACCACAAGTTCAGGTCTTGAGGCCTTCACGCGTGCTTCCGCAGAACATGCTCGATGTCTACCAAAATCTTACAATTCAATCGTATATGATGACAGGAGTTGACAGCAGTGCTGTACCACTGTGAGAAGCTACGACAAGGAAAATACACCGTAGCGCGTTCTGGCCCGTTGATATGGCACGGAACGTGCACTGGATACAGCGTACGATCATCTTAGTCATGGCTTGGCAGGCCCCTGACCCGGTGGAACTCAGCATGTTGCACTCGCATTTAGGCCTCGAGGGTTTACGGTTTAGGGTTTAGGGTCTCCGAACACATGAATAGTCGAAGGTGGAAAGAGAGGCAGCGCCGTGAAGTCAGAACCAACTTCATGATGATGCCTGATCCTGGCCATATCTCCTGCGGAGGCAGCTGCCACCATTTGGGAGGAGGCGTTGGCGTGTTGAGCTCACATGTGGGGAGTATCAGTGCGAAGCTTCACGGACTGCTTTCGCTTGACAAAACACGAGTCTGCCTTGCCCGATGCGTTCGACCAAGCTCTGGGAAACTGGGGTATTTGTGATAGACTGCCTACGCACAGATTGTTTTTTCAATGCCGGTTTGATTCAGAGAGGATACGAAAACGATGGCGCAACACACCTCGAGAAGAGCATGATCTGATGATTAGTTATATACGCGCAGGCCGTTGTTGTCTCCGGAATTCTACTCCGTGAGTTTGGCGAAGGTGCTGACCCGGCAGTATATGGAAACTTGGCTCCAGCTGTTAATGTCGATGAATGCGCTGCTGAGTACCAGGATGCCTCGTGCCGAGTACAGGCGTTTGCCTTTCACGGTAGCTACTAGGCAGCCAGTCAGCTGAAAGAAACCGGCTGCAATGTACTACAACCACCACCACAACCACTACCGCTACAGCTACTAGTGCGACCACGACGACCACGACGACTACCACCACGACTACTGCCACTACTACCACGACTACCACTAATAATCGCTACTACCACTGCAGCCACTACTACCACTACAACCACCGCAACCACTACCACTAGCACTACTGCTACTGCTACTGCTACTACTACTACTACTACTACTACTACTACTACTACTCCTACTACTACTACTACTGCTACTACTACAACTACGACTAATACGACCACTACTCCTACTCCTACTGCTACTGCTGCTGCTACTGCTACTACTGCTACTACTGCGACTACTACTACTACTACTGCTACTGCTACTGCTACTGCTACTGCTACTCCTACTCCTACTTCCACTCCGACTCCTACTACTGCTGCTGCTGCTACTACTACTGCTACTACTACTAGTTTTGCTACCGCTACGACTTCGCGCCTGCTTGTTGAAGGGAGTGTTGGGTCCTGTTTTTGTGTGTCTTTCACAAGTGCTGTTTAGGGAGACTGGCCAGACCATAAGACCGACTGGAGTCTTGGGAACTACATGTTCAAGGACCCCGTGCCTCTTTTTGCATGCATGCCCAGTGTGCCAGGCCAAAGTCGTGCTGAAGCCCTGACGGGTGTGTGTTTAGGGCCTCGGCTGGCCAAATGGTCTAGGACCGATTGGCTTTAGCCGTTCAGGCAAGCACCCAACAGCGCCAAGTTTCTGTTTGCACGGTCCCAGGTTCTCCTCAAGCTTCGTTTCGTAAGCACAGCTGTACCAGAAGAGTGTCCTGAGCAGCTAGCACATGGGAGTTTCAGAGAATCAGTGGTGCACACCTTTGAATACAGACCCCAAACAAAAAGCTCTGGTAAAGATCTCCTTCAAAAAGAAACCTCCAGTTTCGAACACCTTGAATTTCTGCATGCCAAGAGCATGGCGTCTCACCGGAGCAAACTTCGACTTCATCCTGTGGGTCTATCGACCACTATGGCTCCGAAAAGGGAGAGAAGTTAAGTAGACCTTAGCCGGTTGGTTCGTATTTTGCACGTCCAACGGATTAACTCCAAACTACCGTGTTTTGATCAGCTATCCGGAATCCTGGGGCCAGAGGAATGGAGTCAAGTCGTCGGAGAAAGAAAACAACCGTAGGTTATCTTTGACACGCGAGAAAAGACTTGTGACCGATCAGCACCGCAAGCCACGCTCTGTGAGTGCGATCCGCCTCTGGAGTATTTAGCTACTGTGTGTTTGGACTGTGCCGTCTCCAATGGGTGATTGTGAACGTGTAGGCGTGCCATTTGCTTGTCTTTGTTTTCATCGAATAGGTGGACGTTTCTCCTGCCTAATCACGAAAACTATGGATGAGATGCAAGGGCTGTGCTATTTTAGTTAGAATGGCTAGGAGCCGAGTTTTCGATTCTCTAGCTGAGCAAGAAATCTGAAAAAAAAAAAAAGACAAGGAAGCCCGCCTAGCTGCTTCTCAAGCCAGCCTGGTGTCGTTCAGGGTGCAGCATGAAGAGCAGGCTTCTTCAATACCTGGTGGCCACACCGGCTCTTCTGGATACTGTATGCGAATCTGTGGGTAAGGTCCTGATTCGATTCCCAGCCTGTGGTCCGGCAAGGAGCCATTTTTTTGTCCCTGGATATCATGAGTATTGGTATCAGTATTATTACTACTTCTACTGCGACTGCTGCTACTGATATTGCTACTGCTACCACTGCCGCTACCAGTCTGTTACTCCTAAAGGTACTGCATCAACCCGAATGCAATTCGGCGTGTGTGTCCCAAAGCAGCGCAATGAATAGAGTCCATCCCGGCAAGCAGTGTTGCAGGTTCTAGATTCTAGATTCTCCACATTTCGCATTGCAGGGTGTTCCTTGTTCTCACGGATGAAAGATCGACAGTAGGTCTACAGCTTGCGCAGCATGCCGTTCCAGCTGCCTGCTAGGGCAGACCCCAGCAAGTACTACTTCGTCGGATTTCACGGAACAGAGCCAGCAAAGGCGAAGAAAATAGAACAGGATGGCTTCATTGAATCCTATGCCGATGCCGTGGGTTCAGAATGGCGTGGTGTGTACGTGAGTCTTGACCGCGCGGTGTCAAATGCGTATAGCCTGGATGGCAAAGGTGGCGATGCAGGGACAGGGGTCATGCTGCATGTGTATGTCGAGAAAGTGATTGTGGACAACGGCCACCCGCCCTACCAAGACATGGCCGACATGACCCATCCGCATGGCTCAAAAGATAGGGGCAAACACGAACGCCTGTGGAAAGGAGAGCCAAAAGATTTGGTGGTGAGCAGGGAGCCCCTGGAAGGAGCCGAGCCGGCACCAAACGAGTGGCTTGCCCCGCATGACCACTACTACGACGAGAACACATGCCGCTGATAGTTTGTGTACGTCAGACGATCCTGTTTGACGATTTTTTCAATACTGGTGTAGACCTGAAAGATGTGCCTGCGGCAACAACACGCAGTGCCGTGTCGAGAAGATGAGGAGAACCACAGGAGTAAAGCAGAGTTGAGTCAGTTGAGTAGGCCCCTTTAACTGATACATTTTTCTATGAGATTTGCCAGTGAATACTCTCAAGTCTCCAACTCAAGCAGGATGGACTCGCAATATCATCAAAATAGTCCCAATCACATATAGCATCAAAATAAGAAAACTGAAATTATGTGTATATTGACTTATAATAATAATACATTTCAACTTTTTTATGTAAAATGTATTAGTATTTTACCAAGTTAATAAGATCATATTTTATCAAAATATCAAAGCTTGAATACAGATATACTTCTATAGAATATTACACCAGCCAAGACCCCAAACAGAATGCATCGAATCATACCGGTTCAAGTTGGAATGTGTTGGATCCCAATCTGGCTTCGCCAGTAAATTTTGCGAAGAAGAATTAGGCCTTGGGCGATATATTTCTGCGAAAGAAGAGTGGCTGGTGGGATTCAAGCATGTGGGAAGGTTTATGGGAGGGTCCAGGGAGCATCGTTCAGAGGATCTTGTTGCAACACCATGC